CTACATATGAACCGAACACCACGCCCCTCTCTCTCGAGGATCATCGGCTCTATCAGCAGCAGCTAGGGTGCCTTCTGTTCGCCGCCGTCACGTGCCGGCCCGACCTCTCCGCTCAATACATGAAGCGACCTGAAGGGAAGAATCTACAAGATCTACGCCGCGCACTTCAATACTCCATCTCTACTCCCGACGTCGGCCTCACCTACGAAGCTAACTTAACGGCTACCCTGCAGCTACACAGCTATGTAGACGCAGACCATGCGGGAGATGTTGACAACAGACGCTCCCGCACAGGATTCATTTTTCAACTTCAACCTGCTGGACTCATCTCGTGGAACTCTCAGAAGCAGGAACTCATCGCCCTTTCGTCAGCCAAAGCGGAGTTCATCGCCGCTAGCGCAGCTGTTCGCGATGGACTGTACCTAATGGAGCTTCTGCAGGAAGCGAAAGTAACGATGAACGGGCACTTCACGTTACTCTGCGACAACCAGGGCGCGATCAAGATCGCGAACAAGCCCGGCTTCGTGAACCGCACGAAACACATCGCCCTTCGCTACTTTTTCGTCAAAGATGAAATCGACAAGGGCAAGGTCAAGCTCACATACTGCCCAACTGGTGACATGGCGGCCGACTTTCTAACAAAGAAACTGCCACGTCAACAGTTCCAGCACTGCGCCAATCTCTACGAGATCACCAAGAAGTCCCACGTGGCTCACCTTCAGGAATGAAGGGGAGTGTTGAAATAACCGAAATGTTATTATAAGCATTCCCGAAGGCTCTCCACTGTCGCGTCTATTCATAGCGAAGCAGTCGCCTGTACCAGTATCGCAAAGAGCGCGCGGAAGGTCGAGGGTCACCCGAAGGTCAACAGTCGAAGACAGTCAACGGTCCTGACCCTTGACTGCCCAGTAACCGCACAAGGCAGTTGCGAAGTGCAACATGGTCACTGTCTAGAATGGCAATAGTCGTGGTTACTGTAGCAATGCGTTTCGGTTAATAAGGGAATGTACCCCTCAGAGTACATGGCTAGCTAGGAATGCTATTTATATCTTTGTACTTCTATCTTATAATCATCTTGTTCTCCTTCAATTTATTAACAAGGTCATTACAGAGACTTCACAGTTCTGTCTCTTACACTTGGCAACCTTATCCTATCCACTACGATCCTTCAGTTATAACATCATGCTTCATCTTGCAACTGTGGGCAGCTTTGTTTGCCTCGTCCGTACCATATCAATCTCAGTTGCAACATTGACGCATTTAGTATTCGCCTCGGTACGACTTCCAAATGCGTTCTTTGTGTATGTTTGTGTGGTCATATCTGTATTGGTATGCGTTTTTGAGTGATAGAAATGTGGTCCATTGGTGTGTTTTTGGGTGCTGTCATTTGTGCGGAGTGACCGTTCAATTGTTCCATTCGCCGTACTTACCGAAGATTATGGAATGATTGAATACATTTGGTTTCACATTTTGTGGAACTCACGTGAACAGTGGTTTCTTCCAATTTTGATGGGGGGAAAGTCACTGTTCACATCAGTTCCCCGAAAAGTGAAACCAATTGTTCAAAAAAACAATCCAATCTAAGGCGTGTCCAGCGCGTAGGTTCACACCACATGTGCCGCAACAGTTACCACATTTTAGAATGTAACAACAGTTTTACATAATCTTTGGACATCGTACACCCCTGGAACGCACGTAACTGGCACCATATTTTGGAATGTACGAGTCTGAATCTCAACAGTTCCACATTCAGCGGGGTCCATCCTCAAATTTCGCCAGGCCACTTTGAATCTCGCGAAATTCAAGGGGGCAATTTCCAACCCCTCTGGTTACAGAGTAGTTCTGTCGCCACTGTCGCGCAACTTGCTGTTCCAGTTGCGCTGAGAGGCGAATTGTGTCTTCCCGCTGTTTTTTGGACCCAGGACTAGGTACACCTGGTAGTACCATTTCTGCGCGTGATCCGAAATACGTCAAAATTGTGTCAAAATCCGAAAGTGTACGCGCTGGACACGCCCTAACTCCTCGTAACAGCACGCTTCTAGTTCACGCCGAGGGCTGCGGAACCCCGCAGGAACACCATGTCGCCGATAGTTTTCCTTGAGAGTGCCTCAAACTACCTCCGATGAAGCGCTCTCGGTTCGTTGGCCTCTCCCTTGTCTTGCAGCAACAGCGGTGCCTCATTTGCAACTCTGTGTCGTCTGATGTGTGCGATTGCTGATTCACTCATGCCTGGCTAAACCATACAGCCAAGCAATTTCTGCTCTCTCGCCCCACTCGCCCCTTTCCGGATGCCGTTCTTTCTTTTCACTACCACATAATCCCTTTCTGGTTCCATACGCAGAGGGGATGCAGCGGAACGAGATGCAGCGAATCTTGGCGGGGATGCCGGAAACGGAGAGGCTCTAGGGCTGGGATTTGGGACGAGAGACGACGGCGGGGCGCGCCCGGTATCTTCTGGCGGCGGGTCGGAAGGGGGAATTGGGTCGTGGGCATGGAGGGGAGGGGAGACAAGCGGTGGGGATGGTGGCGGGTGGGCAGGAGGAGGAGGAGGTAAGGGAGGTGATGACCTGGGGATCGCGGCCCTGTTGGGGAACATTGAGGCGCCGAGAGGGGAGGAAAGGCGGGGAAAAGGGAGGGGCGAAAAGCAGTTGGGAGGTGGAGGAAGGAGCCACATTCAAAACAAGCGGGTGGGAGCTGAGATTCCCCCGTCCAACATAGGGTACCAGGTGTGTGTGTGCTCTGTGGCTGGGGATGCCCGTTCTTTTCCTCTGCTTATGCACCTTTTGTGATGCATCAAGTCACCTGCTCTTAAACTGCAAGCATTGCCATGTTTACCATTGCGCAGCTCCTCACATGCTCGTCTCTGAGCCATGCCCGCCTGTCTCGCCATCATCGTTGTGTGCTTCTCTTCATCCTTGTGTGCTTTGCCCTGTCTCCTCTGCAGCTGCTTCAAAAGGCTGGCTGGCATGAGGGCCGCGGGCTGGGAGTTTCTGAACAGGTGCGTTCCCAGGAAATTGGCGGTTGTTGGTGAGCATATGCGTGTGCGTGAAGGGGGGAGAAATAGTGGTGGATGGAGAAACAAGGGCCGTGTGACTGGAAGGGTTGGAAAGGGAGGGAGGAAGGGAAGGCTTTGGGTGGGGTTGATCAAACAAGCTGCAAGTAGAAGCACACTCCTATCTCTTGGTTACCAGACCTGTTGTTCTATCTTGCACCTCTCAGCAACCACCACACTGCATTCATATCTCATATCATTTGATTCCACAGGGTCGTCTCGATCCAGTCCCCCCGTCGCTCAAATTCGACAAGGTTGGTCTTGGCGGTCCCTCCTCTTCGCACGTCCCTTTCTCCTCGCGGTCTCAGTCAGCCCCTACTCTCTCTCACACAACCCATCCTGCGGCCGGCCAGCCACACACTGCACAAGCTACAGCTGGTGTTGCTGGCTCAGGCTTCTCACGTGCCGTCACTGATGCTCTTGACAACGAGCTTGATGTTGGGGCTGGTGCTAGTGCTTCTGATGCTGATGGGGGAAAGAGTAGAAGTGCAAGGCGACGACAAAAGAAACAGAAGGCAGGGCAGCAAGCAGAGAAGAAGCAGATGCTGCAGCAGTGGCTGTATCGAGAGTTTTTTCCTGATAATGTGTAGATATTGTAAATTAGATGATGATTGTTTTTACCACGGGTCCATCTAGAGGTTCTTGGGTAGGAGAAGGTTCAGGGAGACAGGGAAGTGAGTTTGAGTTTGTTCACTTCATGTTTATAAACTTAGATTTAGTTCAACTTGTTTATCTGAAACTGCGCTGTAGGATTTATTGTTGTTGCGGGAAGCACCAATAAAAACACAAGACCGCATGTTATTACGAACACCTGAGCCATTTGGGCACCTGACAACAGAGAGCCCACTATCTGCGCGTCGCGTAAATCTATTCCCCACGACACACGCCCTGAAACAGTTCTCTGTGCCTGATCAGCTGCTGACTAGGCTCGGACGATACAGCAAACGAAAACCGGCACATCAGCTAGGCTACTCTGGTTAGGTTCCAAACGGACTTGTATTTCAAAGCAAGTGTGAATGTTGTGGGGGTTACAGTATCACTGGGAGCGGCAGTGCGCCCAACACAGCTGGGATCTGCGCCGATTATCGCGGACAGTTGGGCAGTGAAGCCAGCTACAGAAGCGGGCAAGTGCGTGCTGGCGACCGTCGCAACACAAGTGACGAAACTCGGAGGTTGGGATGGCGAAGGGTTGTGATCGAATTACGGTGCTTCGAAACTGAGTTTTTGGGGACTCTACGCGCGTTTGTACGTTACAGTATGTTGATGCGCGGTTCTGGATTATAGATACTCGGTACCACACTACGCTAGGGAAAACTTTTTTTTTGTTACCTCCAACACACATCCCCCCCCCTGTTCGTTCCCCCACCTCCGCATGTCCGTACATCCCTTCCGCGCGGCCGAACAGGGAACGCGTTCTCCGCCAACAAGGCCTCCATTTTCCGCCCAATCCAACCTCAAGGTCCGCGCTGCTTTTGTTGTGTTCCGTTCCGCTCCCTCCCTCAACACCCCCCCCCAGCGCCTGCGCTGTAGCTGTGCTTCTGCGCCCCGTACGACCTTGGGCTCAATACCTGCCCGCTGCTGTTGCTATGTCTCTTTCATCGCCACACCTGCGGCTTCACCACGACACAACCAAGTCCTGGAGCACAACCAAACCAGTGCAGAGCGCTGAGTCGCAGACCACCAAAAATGCTCGCCAGTTGTGCCTCCCCTTAGACCCACCTGGACTCGTCCACCAGTGCATTATCTCCTCGGCTCCATTTCTCCGTTCCCACCCGCTGCGGTCCTTCGCAATAGCCAAAAATGCATGAGTAATCTCGTTGTGTTGACCGTCTCATAATCCTTTGCCACGCTCACCCTCTCATACCCTTCGCGTAGTACCCTTAACCTTCCGCTCTCGCCTCCCGTCTGATTGCGGGCCCTCGTCTTCTCCCTCCTCACGCCGCGAGGAATGGCGCCGGGTCTTTTCCTGCGAGCCGCGCTCGCGTGTCTGTTCGCGGCTGTTGGCGCGCTCGCAGGCCCGTCGAAATCATGCCCTAGCAAGATCAGCGATTGCCCCGTTTGCCCTTCCGACTCCGTCGTTTCTTCCTCCTCCTCGTCCTCTTCCTCGGCCGTGTTCCAGCCCAAGAGCTCGGAGTTGCTGGGAGTTCTCAAGGGCAGTTTCGTCGCACACGCGTCGTTGACCAACAAGAAGTCGTCTGCGACGCTGCTGAACCCGTCGCAGAAGACGGCGGCGGTGACGATCAATCGGTGCTGCGTGTCGTGCAGCGAGCGCGAGGATTGCGCGTATTGGACGTGGAAGAAGAACAAGAAAAGCAACACAGGTAACTCACGCATAGCGTCACCCCGCCTTCTCCCCCCCCCCCCCCCCCCAAACCTATTCCCCCTGCCTCCCCTCCCCTTTTCCTCCTCCTTCCCATCGCCCCACCCTCCCTTCCTTCCCTTCCCCTTCCCTTCTCCCCCCCCCCCCCCACCCCCCCCTACCCCCCTCCTTCCCCCCTCCTCCTTTCCTCCCTCCCCTCCCTCCTCTTCCCCCATCTCCCCCTCCGCCATCCGCCTCCTGCCTTCCGCTTCCCGCTTCCGGCCTTCCGCCTCCCGCCTTAAATCGCCCTCATTATCTTCCCCCATTGTCTAGGCGCCCCTCTCCGCCTGCTTTCCACCCGCGCCCACCGTATCGTCCATCTGTCTATGGCCCCTCACCTCACGTCTTACAGTCACTCCCGTCTGAAAACCTCTCCCCACCCCTTTCCAACCCCATCCCGTACCTTTCCCGCCTTCCTCCCCCACCCTTTTCGCCATTGCTACCGCGTTTCGCGCTGTCCCTTGCGGCCATTTCTACCTCAGGAATATGCAGTCTCTTCGGCGCTGACCAGTGCTCGACGCACAAGTCCCTCGCAAAGGTCAACAAGTGGCAGCCCGACACCAGTACCGGCGTTGTCTCCTTTAAGCGCTGCCTCGCTACAAGCTCCAGCTCCACCGGCGCCGGCAGCGCGTCTGCCGGTGAACCTCTCGCAGGGACCGACTCCACCGGTAGCGGGGACAGCAGCGCCAAAAGCGGCGGCAGCGTGAAGCGGTACAACACGACTTGCCCCGCGTTCCCGTGCCTGCCTGCCTGCCCGTCCGCCGTCGATCTTCCGGACATCACGGATTCGAAGGGCCCCGCGTTTCCCGGCGCGTTTCGCGGGAAGCTGTACGAGCACTACTCGCAGGCGACGGGGCCGACTCTGGTGGAGGACGCGGGGCTGAAGAGCATCGGCGAGTGCTGCGAGTACGCCGCGTCGCAGTTCATGTACGACGTGACGTACTGGTCGTGGGAACAGAGCGACTCGACGGACTCCGGTGAGTTTAAAGACGTCCCTAGATTTGAGTAAGACGCGGAAGGTGGGGTGTGGAGGGGCAAGTGGGGGTCTGAGAGAGAGGGGGAGCAGGGGGGGGGGGGGGGGGGGGGAAGTGGCGAATGAATCTTTGTCAACCAGAATTGCATTGCGCCATGCTTACCGCCGAACCCGCGTATTGCTTCATGCTTCATGCAGAACCACCTAAACTTTCATTACGTTACCTCTCTTCAGAGCCACCCAACTCTCTCTCCATGCTTGTGCCTTTGTTCCCTCTCTCCTCGTTCCTCTCGCTCCCTGGATCCATTCCATCCCATCCTGCGTGCGTGTGTCTTGTTCTCCTCTCTCGCCTCTACCCCATCAGGCCCGCTGTCTGTCACTCAACACCCTCACAACCCCACTCCTCCCTCACTCGTTCACCATCTTCTCTCCCATTCTCTTCTCTTTCCTCCCTCTCTTCCCAATCTTTCGCCTCTCCTCCCTCCCATCAGGTCGCTGTAAGCTCTTCAGCAGCCAGGCGTGTGCGAGTCAGAGGGACGAGTCGGGCAACCTACCGGTTCAAGTCTTTGATCCCACCTTCTCCACCACCTACGCCTTCCGTCTCATCTGCTGACCTTAGACACGTCTAAAAGGCCCCTCCTGCACCAACTTCTGACTTTTCTGCACTGTGTTGGGTGGGGCATGTACTGTTGGTTTATGGCATGGGTGGGTGGGGTGGGGTGGGGTGGGGAGAGGATGCTATCGGAACTGTTACTGTAGCTCCTAAGCTACAGGAGAGTAAATCTGTTGTACTGTTTTTGTGTATTGTTTGTATTGTAGTCTGGTTACACTGCTCATGGGCTTGTTGGTTTATTACTGGCTGAAATACCATACGAAGTCCTTGAAAAATGATATGTTTGAATCATAAGTGAAGAATATTCTACTGTATGCATGACGATCCTGCCTGCAGCCTGCTATTAAAAAAATCAGGAATTTCACTCCTATCCAGACCAGACAGACCCAATGCCACTGTGAATACAGTAACAGGAAATTGACACTAACTGCTTTTGCTAGCATTTGGGGGTAGGTAGAGCCACACCCACTCATGCACTGCACAGGGAATGGATACAGTACTCCCTCTACCACACCAACATACGTTAGCAACTAACTACCACATAATGCCACTTGCGTTGGTACTGCTTCTTGCCCTCACTACCGTACTTGCCCCTGTTGCTAAGGGAAACCAAACCAGCAGCAAGGAAACTGCCCTCATTGCCCAGCTTGCACCCATCGCCAGCCAAACTCTTTATGGCCAACGGAATCTATCTTGTTTAACCAACCCTATTGAAACCAACATATTCCACACGTGTTTTACAGTTTTGAGATAGTACCGGTATCTCAAAACTCCCTAAAGCAAAAACGCTGTGAGTGCGTGACCCATAATGGGCAACGTCCCTTATTCTCACTGCGACCCTCTTCACTCCTGCAGTACCCTACCCCACCTACACTCGACAAGCCACCAGCACCAACAACCCACTCCCACACTTCACCCCTCACCCCGCACAATCACCGAACGCCCCACACAAATGCCCCCTTCCCCACGCGTGGTTCTGCAATGCACAGGCACTCCCTTGGTCTGCAGCATTAGTGCCCCACTGCTGTCAACCCTGCTGCTCTCAGCCCCTCCCAGCCCCTCCCAGCAGCTCCCACCCAGCATGGCAAAGCACAGCACAACAGCGCACAGCTCACTTGGCCTTGGCCACGCCCCGTGACGCATCAGTGCCCCACTGCTGTCAGCCCTGCTGCTCCAAGCCGCTCCCACCAGCCCCCACCAGCCCTCACCAGCTCCCACCAGCTCACTTTGCCTTGGCCACGCCCCGTGCAGCCTCCTCCCTTGACGACGCAAAGAGCTCCACGTAGCGCGTGCCCATGCGCGAGCGGTCGCGCCCCATGGCCGCTGCTGCATCGCCCGGCGACGCAAACTCCGCAAAGGCCTCGCCTGTGCTGCGGCCATCCGCCCCCACTACTATATGCACACTGGACTCGGACAGAGGGAAGCCGTCGAAGAATGCCACTATGTCCTGATTGGGGGAGGAAGGGCGGAAGGGGAGGAGGGGAGAGAAAGAGGAAGAGAGTGAGGGAGAGGGCAGGGGAGAGGAAAGGCAAAGGCCTCCCCTGTGCTGTGACCGTTTGCCCCCACGACTATGTGCACACTGGACTCGGACAGAGGGAAGCCGTCAGAGAATGCCACTATGTCCTGATTGGGGGAGGGGAGGGGGAGGTGGGAAGGAGGGGCGAAAGAGTGGGGATAGGGGCGGGGGAGTGAGGTAGGGCAAGTGGGGGAGAGGAGGTGGGTGGAAGAGGTGGAGAGAGAGGAGGGGAGGGAGGAACGAGAGAAGGAGAAAAGGGTGGAGAGACACAAGCCGAATGCAATCTAATTAGAATTCTACAAAAAATATTATTCACGAGTCACAAGCAGCAGCTACCACACCAACCCCAACCCCTCCCCCCCTTCTCCCCCAGTTGCCATTCTTTCCACCCCCCCCCCCCCCCCCACCTGTTTAGTGGCGGAGTAGGGAATGCCGCGCAGCTTGAGCACGCCTGTGTGCTCCACTGCCGGATGCCCGTCCATGCCCCCGCCCCCCCCCTCCCCATACCCGCGGTACGGCCTTCCCCCCCCCATGCGCCCCGCCCCTTGATGCCCTTGGGTTTCTGCAGGAGGAGGGGGAGGGACGAGCGCGGGACGGGAGAGTGGGGGAAAGAAGGGCATAGAGTGGATTAGGTGGGGAGGGGAGGGAAGGGAGGGTGTGTGATGCGAGGGAGAAGTGGGTGTGGATGAGAAAACAGGAGGATTCTCAACTCAAAGACAGCAATGACGGAATCACGCCACTTCAAATCAGAGGAGTCATTGGCTCTAAGACGTATGGCGGCTGTGCTGCCCTGCGCGCACCTGCCCCCTTCTGCTGCGCGCACCTGCCCCCTTGCCCTGCGCGCACCTGGCCCCTTGTACTGTCCGCCGTCCTGAGCGACCTCGTTGGCGACGGCGTTGTAGTAATCGGCGCGCTTGCACCGGAAGATCTCCACGTACCGCCGCCCCATGCTCATGCGGTTGCGCTGCAACGGACGGATGCGCGGGATGTGCGGGGGAAGCGGGATGCGCGGGATGCGCGGGAAGCGGGGGATGAGAGGGATGCGCGGATTGAGAATCTCCCTTGCAGCGAGATCGTTCCCGAAGACGACCAGACCTGCCTAGTATTCGCTGCGGCTATTATCCGCGCCCCGCCACCCGCGATCCCGCCCTCCGCTACCCCGAACCCCCCCCGACCTGCAGCGAGAGCTCGGCCTGGATGGCGTTGCTGAAGACAACAAGACCTGCCTAGTATCCACGCTACGGCTACACCCGTTACCCGTCACCCGCGTTCCCCCGCGGACCTGCAGCGAGAGCTCAGCCTGGATGGCGTTGCCGAAGACGACGAGCGCCTCGCCGGAGAATTTAGAGTCGCGGCGCAGGAAGAGCACGTCGACGACGTCGAGCCCCGCGAAGAACTCCGCCACGTCGCCCTCCTCGCAGCTGAACGGCAGCCCGCGCAGCTTCACCACCGGCAGCGCGCGCGGTCCTCCGCCCATGTGCATCCCGCCACCGCCCGGACCCCCGCGCGGCATTCCGCCGCCGCCGGGGTACCCCATGGCGCCCCCCATGGCGCCCCCCATGCCGCCCCCCATGCCCATCATCATGCCCGCTCCCCCGGGCCTGCGCGGATCGGGCGGGGAGAGGCGGATAAAGGGGAAGCAGGGTTAGGGTTTGCGGCGCGGGGGAGGGGTTTGGGGGGACAAGCGGGTTGAGAAGCATCGGGCGAAAGGAGTGTTAGGAAGACACTGAGACGGAGGGAAAAACGTAAATGTATTGATCGCGATTAAGGAGGCGGTGCTCGCACTCGCCGCATGGCGCCACGGACCTGAGCTTAACTCCCTCGACTCACCCGCCGGAGCTGTACATTGTTGTTGTACAGGCGGCCGCGCGCTGATCACAGCCGTCCGATCAAGATGCTGTCTGCCAAACGAGCTTCACTGTTCAAGCCTCTAGCCACGTCAGGCCGCGCCAGGCGGGCAGCGCCAGGAAGGCGGCGTCAAAGGGGATGTCAGAGCTAAACGGCGATAACCTCTAGGGTTAACGGGTGACCGATTTGTCGCCGTCAGCTCGTCGAGTCACGGCGACTATCTGGCGATTCGCGCGTGCGGTTCTCGAACGAAGTGTGGTAGCTACTATCGCATCCGTTCTCCTAGCCAATACTAGGCGCAAAGCATGCAAGTGAATATAGGGTGCTGTATATTAGTTGGGATCTCATGTTCTACAGAAGTCTCCAGTTGAATTCAGCAACAAAACAATATCTCGTACCATTAAATGATTACCAGTACAGAACAATGAAACGCACTCTGGCAGAAACCCAATCAATCTAAAAAACAGAACGCCACAAAGTTATAAAAAACAGAGAACTCAGCCACAAGGAGTGAGCTTGCTATTTCCCCACCCGCGCCGATGGTCATCAGTGTAATCATCCCACTTCCTTGCCTTATCCACATCCTCCTCATCATCCAAATACCTCCCACCCATCCGCCTCTCCTCCTCCTCCTCATCCACCTCATCCTCCCCATCTTCTCCCTTCCCCTGCCCCTTCCCATCATCCTCCCTCACAATCATACCCTGCTCCTCCATCTCCTTCCGTGTCCGCTCCTTCCAAGCAGCCATCATCGCCATCTCCCTCTCCCCCGCCTCCTCAATACTCATCCTCGCAACGCTATGGCTCGGCTGAAACACCCGCAGCGAAGCCAGAGGGTCCCGAGCAGCAGCAGAGCCACTACCAGACATACTCCCCGTAATCCCCCCCAGCACACTCCCACTCCCCGGCCCCCGTTTAGCAGCCGCGCTCATGAGGCTCATAGGGCCGAAAACCATGGGTGCGGTGTGGCGGTGGTTGGCTATCTCCTCACGGGGCACACGGCCTTCGATCACGTCTTGCGCGAGAGTGGCGCAGGCAATGGCTTGCGGGGGGACTAGCTGCCTGCCGCCTGCAGCAGCGGCGGCGGCTGCAGCAGCAGCAGCGCGGTGGGAGCCCTCTCTCTTGCGCAGGCGGTCGTCCAGTGCCTCTGGTGCAAAGGGGTTGGCGGTTGTTCCAGAGCGGTCCGACTGGGTGGGTGAAGCAGGAGAGGAGAGGTAGGGGTTGGGGAGCGAACGGAGATAGCAGGAAGCTGTTCACAGGCAGAGGGATGTGAAAGAATGTTTACTCTTACATCGCAGAATCACAAGGGGAAATTCACTTGGGAATGGTCAACAAGAGTTGGTGCATGCAGGGTTGCAAGGAAAACCAATCAATACTAGCACGAGAGAGGAGAGGAGAGGAGAGGGGCGGCTTGATTCTCGACTCTAGACCAACCTGGAATTTGTAATCAGCAGAAGCCGCCTCATGCAGCATTTGTCTCTCACGAGCGAGTGAGTCCACAAGATCCATTGCCTGCAGCACACACGCATGGAGGCCAGACGCAGTGAGAGGACGTGGTGAGCATGCAGCACAGTGAATGAGAGCGAGCGCAGAGGTTTTAACCTGCAAAAGCTAGAAGCTGCAAAAATGGGAGAAGCTAGAAGCTAAATTCTGGGAAAGGAAAAAGCCCCCAGACGGCGAGAACACCTGCAGTGCTCTTCACTGGGCAAGCAACGCACCTTCACAATGGCAAGCCGCAGCGCCAGCATCCATGCCTGCATGCAGTGCAGGGACAGAGGTGGACGGAGTGGGTTGGAGATAAAAGGCAGTTCAAGCTGTGCATGAAAATGAAAAGAGGTAGAGGACTGAAAGAGGTTACAGACCAACGAAGAACAGAACTCATGAATATGGCAACACACGGAGCACACTCCCCCCTGCCTGCAGGCTCACCTCCCTCTCATCAACCTCGTCATCATCATCGTCATCCTCCAGGCCACTCCCCACAGCAGCACCGTCCGCACTCGCGTCCTCCCCTGCGTCTGCCTGTGCGCCCGCCCCCGGGCGTGCCTTGCGCACGCGTTGCTGCCGCTCCGCCTTGCGCCGCCGAATGGCCTCCAGCCGCCCCTTCAGCTCGCGCTCGCGCTTGAATCGCTGCACCTGCTCTCACCACAAGGAAAGAGGGGAGAGAGGTTTGCGAAAGGACGAGAAGGAAGAGGGGAAGAGGGAGAGGGGAGGGGGGGGGGGGGGAATGGGTTAGAGGCAGCGAGGGGGACGTGGAGGGAGCACCGAGGCGGGGAGGGTAAGAGGGGAGGGGGAGAGGGAGAGTGAGAACGAGACGGGAGGAAGGAGAACAGGGAAAGAACGGAAAGAAGAAGATAGGAGAAAAACCAAGGACAGGAGAAAATTAGAGAAAGAGGTTACCTTGAGTGCCCTCTTGGCGGTAGCGTCCAGATCCTTCACCTCTGAACCATTGCCATTGCCATTGCCATTCCCATTCCCACCACTGCCTGCTGTAGAGGCTGCGAGGGCGTGTGCACGCACCACGTCCGACCGCTCTGACTCCAGTGGCACTCGCAGGCGATCCATGGAGTCAAGAAATGACTGCCCGTGCCAATGCCCGGGGGTGGGGATGACACCAAAAGGAGCAGGAAGCGGGGGGGTTTGGGGAGGGAGAAGGGGGAAGGGGGAAGGGGGAAGAGTACCGGTGTAAGCAAGAGCCCGAGTTCAGGTAGGTGAACAGGGTGTGCGGGAAGAGGCAAGGAATGGGAGATATGGAAACCAAAAATGTGTGACGTGGAGACATAGGGAGGAGAAGAGGGACTGACGGGAATTTATGGAGATGAAACGGGCAGGGAGATACTAACAAAGTACTGACAAGGAAGGGGAGTGGAGAGTGGTAGGGCAGAAAGAAAGGGAAGGTGGCGTGGGGAGTGGTATGGCGAACTGACAGCAAGGTGTTGGAGAGAGGAGCGGAGAGCGGCGGTGCGTGCAGAGGCGATGGCCACTGGGGATGCGGAGGGGCGCATGGTGGAAGAACCGGGGCCGGCTGCAGCGGCAGCGGCAGCCGATGGCGCGGGTGCGGTCGGAAATGCGGGGACGCGCTGCAGTAAATCCGCGTGCAGCCATGGCACCTGCGGGAACGGGGAGGACGGATGGGAACCCGGAATAAGAGGAAAGACGAACATGGAAGGGAGGGAAGAAGCAGGGGAGGCACGAGTAGAGAACGGAAAGAACGGAGAGAGCGGAGCAGGCCTGGACAGGAGACTCGTTGGACACGGCCGTAAGCGGTTCGACCTTGCGCCTGAACGCTTGAAAGCTAGACTAGGGCTTCTGGATTTAAAACAGAGAGCTACGACAGGGGTTTGTTTAACATATCGAGAGGCAAACTTCAACGATGAGTGCCGCGTCAAAAACCTGCAGTGCCACAATGAATCCAATCAATCTCATACGTCAGCAGATCAGCAGATCAGCAGATCCAGAGATTTCATGACAGGACGTAGCAGGAGAAATTAATGTCGTACCAGGAGGTATTTAATGTCTCCGGTGGCGACGTCGTCGATCTCCTCATTGGACGAGAAGAGAGCGAGATGCCGGATGCGCGAGGTGCATTCCGCCAGGTACTTTATCGCGACCTCCAATTCATCCTGTCTCCGCGCAATCAACGGCGCCGAGAACGGCGGGAGGCAAAAATAGCACAAAATTATTCTCAGTCAGAACAAAAGCGCGAGAAGAAACACTAAACAAACACAAAGTATCGTGGATAGGATGACCGTTGTTTGGTACAGAAAGGCAGCTTCGAAAACGGAGGAAGCACATGAGCATACCGGTGGAACTGTCTCCGAATCGGCTCTAGAGTGAACATCGTAAGCCTTGTCGAAGAGAGCGGGGAGCGAAAGACCGTCGAGCAGAAGCTCTTGCGACGACGTGGTCGAGTCGGCTGGCTGATCCGTTGAAACGTCCGTCATCGCGAAATTTAAGACGTAAAATACTATTCAGTCGAGGAGCGCGCCGACCTAACACGGAACGATGGCGGTTTTATCAATATAGGAGGGCAAGCTGAAGCTAATAAGAGCATGTACAAGTGCGGAATGAAGTAGACGTATGCGGTATGAAGTCTGACGGCACAGAGAGGGATTGGTTTGACAGGCTTTATAGAACTTCACTACCGTAGATTCCGTGGAAGCATCTTCTCTTCTACGCCTCGCACATTCCACAAGCTCCTAGATGGACCCTTCCGTGATCGGTGGTACTGTACAGTTTTCTCCGCTGTAGAACACTCTGCAAAGGATTGAAGCTTATGTAAGGTCTGCACTTTAAGAACCAAACCTCAACATAGAAGGTCCTGGTGGAATTCTTAGACATACACACGATAATTGCTATTGCGAGTGAGTGAAGGTGCCCTATAATTTTGAATTATGCACACTGCCAGCACGTGTTCCTCGGGAAGAGAATCCGCTACCAAGTAATGCACATTCCTATACAAGGCAACACATGGTCTGCTTCTATTCATAGGCAAGTCATATCTACAAGGATTCAGGATCAACAAAAGCCAGTCTGGGGCAGCACAGATTCCGGAGTGCCAGCATGTCATCTCGAGGGCCAATGAGGAGTGAGGTACTGCAGCAGCAGGTGGTGATGACCGGGATTGTTCATGGAAGGGGTTGCAGGGGAAGCCGCAGTTGGAGGTTTAGGGAAAAGGGGGGAGGGACAGAGGGGAACGATGGTTATGCAGTGTGGAAGGAGGAATGTTACGACACGAGCGAGGTGGGAGAGATGAAGCGATTTAACCAGGAAACAAGAGGTTGCTGAGCGATTATGCATGCCAACCATTGGCATTGGGCGAGCATGGGATAACTACAGCATGGATGGCAAGGCAAGGCATGGCACGGTATGACACGTGGTGGGAGCAGTAGGCGCAAGGGCAAGCAGCAGGAGGGGGAGTCGCATCACATCAGAGCGTGGGGAAGTCTTGCAGGCCCCCCCATCGGGGGTCGACGACCTCGAGAGTGGTGAAGACGAGGCGCATTCTGTCCGCCACCACCGCTGCTGGCTCCGCCACCCCCGCCACCGCCATCTGCTCCATCTGCAGCCGCCCCACCGAGTACCTGATGGGGGGTGGCGAGGGTGTGTGGGAGAGGGGGGATGTGAAAGGGGGGAATTAAAAGCCTAATCATAGGTCAACCACCACACTATAGCCATCTGCTCCATCTGCAGCCGACCCACTGAGTCCCTGGTGGTGGGGGATGAGGGTGGGTGAGAAGGTGGGATGGGGGCATGTCGGTGACAGCACACCAGGCGGTAATGCCATGTCTTGGCGTTTGTTATGTCCGCCACTGCCATCTGCTTCATCAGTGAGTACCTGGTGGTGGGGGTTGGCGACGGTAGGTGATGCGGCTGTGTGGAGGGGTGGCCATTGAGATGGCTCAAAGGTCATCCGCCCCTGCCATTTGCTCCATCTGTACCTGACTTAGGGGGTACCTGGTGGTGTGTAATGCGGGTGTGTGGGAGAGACGGATGTGGGGAAGTGATTGAACACGCACAGTACTGTGATGTGAATCTGGGATTGCTATGGCACGGGCGACTCTGGGAGTTGCCACGCCCGCCACGCTGCTGTCAACTGCTCCATCTGCTGCCAAAACTCGGGGTACCAGACGTCCATGCGAGGGGATCGGATGTGGTGAGGGAGGGGGGAAAGGGACTCTGTGCTGGAAGCAGAGTGAACAACTGGGGAAGCGGACGTGGATGGAGGATAAAGCAGTCGCACTGAACACGCCACGTGAGCGAGCAGAGAGCAGAAGAGAGGACGGTCAATAAATGTGAGAAGGAGAAGTGGTTGACAGCAACAGCACTGACCAGGCCATGCCCTGTGTGTAGTAAGCGTTGGCAATGAGCGAGCAGAAGCCCTTCCACTGCACGTGCGAATCGGGTGACGCTGCCTTGGACATGGCCCACCGCGTCACCACAGGCTGCGGTAGCACCGCTATCGTGACAAACACTATCGCCACCCACAGCACACACTCCTGCACCTGATGCACCGGAGCAGATGGGGAGCGGGTTGGGGGGAAGAGGCGGGGTGGGAGCAGGAAAGGAAAATGGGAGGGAGAACAGGAACGTCAGGGGAGGGAGATTGAGCAGCAAGCAGGGGGGAGAGATGAGCATATAGAGAAGGAAAATGTGGAGGTGAAGGGTGTGAGAAAGAAGCAAGCAGCAGAGGGAAGGGTGAATGGGTGACCATGCGCATTTGCCACTACGGTTGTTCAGAGCATCCGGTAGGGTATTTCAATGCTGAGCTTTGATTGACCACTCAAGAACCTCGTGATTCTCCCAGACACTTGAGCTCCTCTTACACGCGGCTTACCTCATGCCGTGATTCTGCGGAAACATCTGCTGCGGATGGCACAGACGAGGGAAATGACAAGGACGACAATGACAAGTCCTTTTCCTCTGCAGCGCTTGCTTCTGTGTCCATTACGGATGCTGCTGCTCCCGTTTCTGTTGCTGTTTCAGATACTGCTGCTCCTTCGGTTGCTGCTGCTGTTGAGGGAGGATCGGGGGGTTGTACGGAGAGCAGTGCAGTGAGCTCCCGCCGTAGCCCCTCCTCCGTGCACCCCACTGCATACGCCGCCACTGCTGCTCGCGCGAACTCCTGTAGGGGGAGACGGGTGCGCAGGGGGTGGGCGGGATGATGCGGGGAAGGACGAGGGAGAGAGATGGGAGAGAAGGGAGAGGAGGAAGGGAGGGGAAGCGAAGGGAAGGGAAGGGAGGGGAAGAGAAGGGAAGGGGAGGGAAGGGAAGGGAAGGTAAAGGGAAGGGAAGGTAAAGGGAAGGGAAGTGCAGTTGATGGTATACAGCCACTGCCTTGTGAGATTGCTGCAGTTCAGTTTCTTGAACGGTTTGACTCGTTGCATAACTCTTCATTTCTTATGATAGAGTTGACTGGCTTCTTTTCATTAGTTGACGTTGGTTGGCTCGTTCCCCTCCGTAAACGTCAACGTTGACGTTGACGACTGATTCACCTTAAGGTGGTCGCGGTAGCCGCTGTCAACGACGGCGCGGTAGCGGCGGTGCAGCCCTGCAGCTATGGAACGAGGCGACGACACGTCATCGCTCCCGTCGTCGCTATCTTGCAGCGAGAGAGGCGCGGAGGAGGACGGCGAGGAGGAGGAGGGGGTGGGAGAGGAAGAAGAAGAGGAGGAAGAGGAGGAGGAAGAGGAGGAGGGTGTGGCGTGTGCTCGCCACGTGGGTCTCTGATGAGCAGTTTAGGGGGGATTTGGAGAAATGGGGGAAAAACGAGGGAGGGGAGAAAGGGGGGAGGGTAAGATGAGGGAGATGTGGGGAGGAGCGAGAGCGAAGAAGTGAGGCGTTGAGAGGAAGGGGAGTGGGGAAAGGAGTGAATGTAGGATGTGAAACGGAAACAAGGTTCTCGATGCATTGACGCATGCACGCATGAAATGCATATGATCATGGTCGTGTGATAGCTTTAAATCTTTTAAAGTGCTATAGTCATGGTAAGGGAAGCTGAGAGGGGGAATGAGACATCCCGCACGCTCGCGTCGTCCCTTGTAGCCGCAAATGCTGCTAGTATAAAATGGAAGCAGTAGATCGGGGGGATACGAGCAACTCACATTGACGCGTCTCACTCGCGCACGGCTCCGCAGCACGGCTGCCTCGCGGATGACGTGGCGTTGCGACGTTTCCCCGCTCCACGTGGCGGACAGCGAGCCCGGGCGGCAGTTGCAGGAGGATGTTGACGTTCTGAGAGGTGACGCATGGAAAGACCCAATGACTGTCGATAGGCTCGATGACAGCCGGAGCGCCATTGCGTCACGGTCCAAGAACGGGATCCTAATGCGCGTGTAGCAGGCTTGACTCGCTTGCAACGGCGGGGAGGAGGCGGTGTGCGTTACGGATGATGGAGCGGTCAGATGGTGATGCGGTCAGCCGCGAGAGACGTTTAGGAAAGGAACAGCGCAGAAACTAAACACACCACATTTAACCATTGAGAATGATAACACGGTATATACTAAATCGACTCATGGAACAACAGGACAGGCGAATATCAGACTAGAAGAAGCTGGAACAATGTCCCAGGCTGGCAGAGCAAGAGGACAACATGGGGTGAGTTGCTGGAAGTTGGTGGAATGTGGAATCTGGTATCGTGGGTTGGAGAAACAAGCAGATTCAAATATCGTGAAATTTTCGTACCGAAGGTGACCGTAGCGGGGAAGCAGCTGATACTTTGTCGGTCAGGGTGACGTGTATCGACTGGCGATATTGCTGTACCCTTGTCCAGCTGACAAGTGTGATGCCAGGAGTCACGTGCCATGCATCGCGCCTTCCATTCGTGTATGATATTGTTCCCGCCTGTGGACAGCCAATCGTCTTGCGATTGTTCATACTTCCTACAATCGGCTGAGCAGCACTCGTAAAATATCTACCAGCTCGCATACCGTAATTGCTGGACGCTTATTGAAAGCAAATGCAATAACAAAACTGCACTACCGATTGGGCCCAAATACAGAGAAACAGAGAATGAATCCATCATATGACGCATGCCCAGCAAACCAAACCTCAACGAGAACCGCTTGCCCTTATCGCCACGCTATAATTCAACCACATCTCCAACTGATGACCGGTCAAATGCACCCCCTGCTCTGCTTCCCCCAGGCCTTTGCATCGGTGACCCTGCCGCATGCAAGTGTAGCGTGGATGTGGGGGGTGGCAGCACCGAGGGAGCAAACACAATGCCCGGTGAGTGGCTGGTAGTGAAGTGAGCAGCAGGGGCAGACGGCCTAACTGCAGGCACGTGAGAGTGAGCAGAGCTTCTGGTCGACCCTGCCGTTGCTGCTGCTGCAGCTGCTGCCACAGCGGCCATAGGAGCAGGAGCAGACGCCACAGGGAGACTATGATGTAAAGCGGGACCAGCAGCGGCAGCAGCAGCAGGGGGTGTACGGGTCACCGCAACCTGAACAGGAACTGCCTTCACAGGCGCTGGAAGCGCAGCAGCAGCGGCAGCAGCAGACCTGCGTGCTGCTGCAGAGGCGGAGGAGGAAGAGGAGGAGGAGAGGGAGGAGAGGGAGCGGTGGATGGCGAGGACGAGGGAGCGCGAGGTGAAGGAGACCTGCTCCTTGATCATGAGCATGAGCGCGGACGACAGCACTGTCTTGAGAATCTGCGCCTGTATGCCCTTGAAGAACCCCGGCAGTCCCTCCGTCTGCCATATGACTCGCATCGCCTGGGAGGGAGAGAAGCAGGAGAGAGAAAGGCCATGGGGGGTTTGGTAGGAATGAAGAGGAGAGTGGTGTTGGGTGATTGGTAAGATGCTGGATGTGTGGCGTGACAGGCGGATTGCTTGATTGAAAGAGAAGAATCGAAAGGTACGGTGCTGTATTGTGCTGTCATGACATCCTGGGCAGGAAAGACGGATTGCTTATCTCATGCGCACTCCACCTTGCTTCACCATCTCAGTGCCATATTCTGCCATATTCTGTCACCGAGCGCCATATTCTGTCACCGAGCGCCATATTCTGTCACCGAGCGCAGTGGGAAGAGGAAACGGAATGCAGTGACATACCAGGGCCATGGACTTTGGAGGGCCAGCCGTGAGGTCTCCTGCTGCCCGGCGCTGCTTCTCCTCCTCCGTCTCTGCCCGCTGCATCATCACCTTGCACCTGATGCGGGGAAGATTCACCACACATATAAACATAGTACATACGCATGCATGTATAGACGTCCACACACACACATTGGAGCAATCGGGTGAGATTACATATGAGGGGAATGAATGAGGGCTCAGGCAGGATTGCAGAGAGTGTGGAATCAAACGTAACGAGCATTGGCTGGCATGGGATGGCAGGGAATGGCTTGCCTAACATCCCTGCCACATCACGCACACTCCTCCCCTTCCTTGCCGAACCGTCCTGCCTCTCTGAACCTTCATCCTGGCAATGTGATCATAAGGTGAGCACGAGATGTCACAGGGTGACACTGGAGGGCATGGGCGGGAACAGGAAGGCATGGGATGGTACCTGATGGCAGGGTATGTGGCGATGGTGGCGATGGTCTTGGAGAGCGCGCCGATGATGAACGCTGCTGCTGCTGACAGGACTGGCGGCGGACCACAGGTGTCCGCTGTCGCTGCGAGCGTGGCGTTTCGGCGCAGCCAGCGCGTCTTGATCTGCTCGAACATGGTGTACTGCCGTGGGCAGGCCCAGGGAGGAGGAGCGAGGGGTGGGGGGCGAGAGGCAGAGGACAAAGAAAAAGACAATGCCAGAAAGGTGAGACATGTGCCAGGTCGAGCAATCAGCAGGGAACAGTAGTGTAGCCATGCACCTTAAACTAAGCTGGCCTTGTTCCACATGAACTGTAAGGTGCTTCAGTAAAGCAGGCATTCAGTCACATAATCTGTAAGGCCTGCTTGCATGACTCGCATCAACTATCACTCGCATCACCACTCACTGATCTAGCGTCTCTCGACTCCCCGGTACTTCTTCCGCTCCCACTCCCGCCGCTCCCACCCATGCTCCCGCTCCCCACGCGCTCCCCACGCGCTCTCCACGCGCTCCCCACGCGCTCTCCACGCGCTCCCCACCCGCTCCCACTCGCACTCCCCATCCCCCCTGGATACCTGGATGGCGGGGTTGGAGACGAGCAGCAGCGACACGCCGAGCCCGTCAAATGCGTGCGCGAGCCCGCCCTCGCGCAGCATCTGCACGAACCCCTTGCCCTCGCCCGGCCGACTCGTCTGCATGCGCGCCGATAGTGTGTCCCACGGCTGTTGCACGGGTGCACATAACGAGAGAGGAAGCGAAGGGATCGGGGGGAGGGGGGGAGGGGGGAGAGGGGAGAAGATATGGGAAATGACAAGGCAACGAGGCTGATTCTTGGGAATCAGTTGGGGAGGGGAGGGAAAGGGAGAGGCGAGTGGATGAGATCTGGAAGCGGAAGTATAAGGAGGTGAACCGGTGACGAGATGAGGATGTGAGGAGATGAGAAGGTCGCGTCCGGGGAAACTGGGTCACGAAAGGCGATCATACAGTGTTCGAAAAGGATGGAGGAGAGAGGGAAAGAGGATAGGAGCATCGCGGCATGACGACAAAACCCCGACTCGACGCACCTGCGTCACGACGGCGGTGCACGCGCCGGCGGAGGCGGCGACGGTGAGATTGGCGAGCAGGCCGAGGTTCTTCTGGTGCGCGGAGGCGAGGTAGCGCGTCTTGAAGAAGGAGTAGGCGTAGAAGTAGACGAAGCCCGTGAGCACCGACTGCATGTTCTTCGTCGCCAGCCCCGCGTATAGAGACGATATGTCCCCGCTCGCCACTGCCTCGCGCAGCACGTCCGCGATGTTGCTGCGCCGATGCGCGCGCACGGGCGGAGGCGGGTGGAGGGGGGAGAGGGGATACGGGGAGAGGGGACAGTTTGGGGAGGGTAGACCAGAGGGGGTTGGAGATGGGGAGGGAGGAGAAGGGGGAGGGAAGAGGGGGAAGGAAGAGGGGGGGGCGGAGACGGCAACAAAAAGTTTGGAGATTAGAGGGGAATGACGGAATGTGCATGGGCGAAACGGTGAGAATGACGAAAATGTGTGATCCGAGGGACTTGGCTGGGTTGGCAACGGAGAGCAGCAGGAAGAGCACGCGGAGAACACTGAGAACACTTGAAGACGGCGCAAGGGACTTCTGCTGCAGAAACGCTCTAGAAATTAATCGAAGGAGCAAGACCGTGAAGCAGTTGACGCCTACCGCTTGCTCACTTATATCGTTTTCGTCCATCTGAAGCCGCCTCCGCTTGAAATCTCGTTTTACACGTGTCAAGCGGGTATAGGATAGTGGTGCTCAGCAGGCCACCCACTGCACCGGCCGTTGCCTCGGTCAGCGCGCGCAGCGAGGGATCGTCCATGACCATGATGACTGCGTATAGTTGAGCAGGAACAAGGATAATACAGGACTCGTGACGGACGAGCTGACTTCAAACTGACACCAGTTTGATAGCAAATCCTGTCTGACAGCAAATCCTGCAGTCCCTAAGAGCAGGAGAAAATGAGGAAGCAGATGCGGGATTCAAGCAGGATCGTTGGTTGTCGCATTAGAATCTAAGGCCAGTCCACCACGCATATAAACTTTAGAGTAAGCATCATGCTGCTTTCGAGAGGCAAGCAAGGCAGGAGGGAGGGAGCAGAGCGAAAATCCAGCTTGCTCTGGTCGTCGGCCGGGCTGGATGGTTGGATGTACCGCGCGTGTGCCGCGCCTATTCCGTACCACACCAAACACTGTGCCTCGGGATTCGCTCCGCGGTTTGTCGCACCTCTCCCTGGGAGCGTCAAACTTATCAGGTTCGTGATGTTCCACACCAACTCCGTGCTCCGGTCACACCCTTGGGAATGTCAAAACGTGGTGCTAGGTTCCGCAAACTGGCTGGTGTTTCAGTTGCCAAATGAGTACTGTAGTCGGGTCAGGCTGGCCCTTCTCGGCAAACTAAACTGGCCGAGCCTGGGTTACCAGCTTGTCTTTGATTAGCCTCGGCATGACGTGTTGCACCGCACAGAGTCGCTGGTGTGTCAAGAGGCCAATACACGTAAGTGCTGCCCACATCAGGCTGACCTGGACCAACGGGTCACGGTGGCTGGAAAAGTTCTGGCGAGAAAGCATTACGGCGAAACTGCGTGACCGAGATGTGTCCCACCTTCCACAAATGCATGACCGACACAATTCACCCCATTCCTTGACAGCTTTCAAAATTAACACGAATAGCGTGACCGTATAAAAAGGTGTACAGCAGCACTTGTATGATAGTACGACCATAACGAATAACCAGCATTCCGAGTCTAGGAGCGAGTGCTCTCGCCTTCCTACTCCTGGCCCTGGGCTGAGAACAAATTTACAGAAGATCACTCCCAAAATCGTAGATAACTCGGTCGCGATTGTGGACGGCATGAAGGCATTCGCTTCTAAATTTTTTTCCTACAGCACCACATTGTGTTCCCTTTCGTCGGCTGCGTTCAGGTGCTGTCGGCGATCCAGGCTATGGGCATCACTACCATGCGCATCTTCGTTCACGGTAACCGACTGTTCATGTACGCAGAGGCGCCGGATGACTTCGACGCTGCCAGAGACTATCAGAAATACACTGCAAGGTAAGCAGTGCTGGGGTACTGTTGCTCGATTGCTGCAAGGTACGCTGCTATGGACTATCAGAAATACACTACATGTCAGGAACTGCTAGGGACTGCGCATTATAGCCTGGATGAAAACAAGACAGGACGCTTAGGAAGGGTACTGGGATTTAAAGGAATGAATGGTTAAGATCCACGTCAAATGGCGACGCCTGCACTATGCTCACCCCTTTCCTTGCAGTGCGCGTGCTCGTGAGTGGGACGAGCTGATGAGGAAGTACCAGCAGCGGGTGCCAGCAGCGTCGTCAGACCTAGACGAGTGGTGGTCGCCCATGAACCTTTGCTTTGACCTTTCAGAAAAGCTGCAGGAGAGTACTACATCCAGACCAAGCCCTACGCGGAATCCATAGGCGTGGAAGGGTCTCTTCTGTACCACCTACACTGGCATGCAGAATTGTGTATTGGATCCAGAGCTACAGGTTACGCTCTTCAGACCTATCGTGGTGTTTGGTTCATGCAGCAAAGCAGAAAATGCAAGCCGTTTAGTTTTGTATCGAACTAGCTAATGCATCTGCGCTGAAGTCCAGCTTTTATAAAGCCAAGATTTTATTTACTCTATGAATGGAAAACACTCAGATGCAACTAGGCAGATCTAGTAAGCAGTTACAATGAGTAACAGGAGCTCCTGATCCCAGCCAAGTAGCCAATAATGTTCGCACTTCGAGACCAGCTGAATGTGGCATTCAAATGCTCAGCAGAGCTGATGCCAGTGCTAGTGCTATGGCGCTCACGCCTTGTGCGGCTCAGCACAAGAAACCTGCTCGAACTCGCATAGCACACCTAGGTTGTCACGGGGATCCAGGAACAGCACCGGGTTTCCATGAGCACCAATCTTGGGCTTGCCATCTCCGAGAACACGAATGCCCTCCGTAGACACGTGCTTGGAGGCAGCACCAATGTCGTCAACCTGTACCATAACAACGGCAACAGTATCGAGGAGAATGTGAGATAGGATGAGAGCGGAATGGTTAAGAAATGCGCTGCTGAAGCGGACGAGGAAAGAAAAGCCGGCAAACGGTAAGGGGGATCTGGCAGGGAATCGTACAGTGAAGCAGAGGTGGTGCATTCCTCCTCTAGGGTTCTTCTCGAGGAACTTAGCAATGGGACTCTTCTCGCCAAGCGGGTGCAGGAGCTCCACTGTACAGTTGCTCACTTGAGCGATGACCACGCGCACTCCATGCTCAGGCAGATCCTGAGGAATAGAACAACAACACCCACATTGGTTCAACGAAGTAATATACAGTGAGGCACCGATATGCGATTGGTAGCACGTAGAGCCGCAAGACACAAAATTTCGAGGACGAACTGGAAAGAGTGGACGAGCGTCGGAAAACGTTTTGAAGCCATGCATCTTACATGGGGCTCGGAAACTTGCGCGCCGAATGTGGTGCGGTAGAACTCCGAGGCAGCAGAGAGGTCGGGAACAGCAATGGCGATGTGGTTCAATCCTCGCACATTGTAAGGCAGTGTCTCGGGAGGGCCACGGATGTTCACACCGCCATCACGGCCACCACTCCCATGCCCGACTTGGGAGAACTGCATGGAGCGAAAGATTGAGAACCACATGGTACTTAAATCACTGCGCGGCAAGCACGTGTAAAATTCACTCATTTTAACATGGCTAAGCTGCCTCGTAGTGCAGTGGGGTGTAGTTTTGCCTTTTTGCCTCATTTTAGCCAGACCTAGCTGCCCTTCTTCGCACTTGTTCAGATTCAACACAATACGATGATTTTCACATGCTCTGAAGAACAAAGAACCAAGTTTTCCTTCAACTTCGTGCACCGTATGGTCCCACGAAATACAACAGGGAAGAAACAGTTTGGCAAGGGGACGGAAGGCGGACGGTACGTTAAATTAGATATGGAAAACAAAAAACCAACTAACCTGTCGGGTAAGAGCGGGGAAAATGCGGGCCGGAGCAGGAGCGACAGCTTGGCTTCCCGACAAAACTCGGGCGTAGTTGCTGCTTCGACGTGCTACCACAGACGCTGCGCGGAGCCACATGGCCATTGTGGACGAAAGGTCTGGTTAAAAAAACTGAGCGAAAGGGGTAAGCGGCAAGTGGAACCACGAGAGGGCGAAGGCAGGCGTTGGATGGAAGGGCGATGGAAGGTAGGCGGTGATGGAGCGTGATGGCTTGAGGCGGGGAGCAGAGGCAGGAGCAGCAGCAGCAACACACGGCGAGAATGGGAGAAACTAGCCCTAGGCGTGGATAAAGAAATGAAAGGTGGTAGCAGCGAGTTTGTACAACTCCGTTTGCTGGCAAATGGGGTGCCTACCCCGAAAGCGAAGGAAGCGGACATGTGTGCTCGTAGATTCAGAAGGCTCGGAAGGAAAGGCTTGACCCAAAGCACCTAGGGTTCCGAGGTTGGCTCGACAGATATTTGGTTCGAGAATATGCTTGGGGCGGGGGTCAGGAGGTTTGGTGCATCACGTAATGCATCTTACTGAACCGCATTCGAACGTTTGGGGGCGGTTCATTGCGGCCATTGGCTCGGAGATATGATGGGTCTGGTTTGGTGTTGGGGAAATGAAATGAAATCGGGTTCGCTGAGTAAAGCACGGAGACACCTGCATGCCACGTGGTCCAGGAAGGTCTGCCTGATACGAGATGCAGCCATGTAGGAATATTCGGCCAATGAATGGACAGCGAACCAACGTTGACCCCGCAGGGCATGCGGCAATCTCCCAACCTTCAGGAGACAGCGCAGACGCAAGGCGGAAAAAGTTCGGCTGATATCTTTTCCTGACTAGGCACGCCCAGTCAGATTAACGCGCTATCTTAGTTTCGAGAAGATACCACTAAATATACAGAACAAAACAAAAAAAACACCCACACAATAAGAATCATAACGGGATAAAAAAAGGTTCCGCAACTGTCCAATCATGAGTAAATTGTCATCTCAAACTGCAAGTTCGTCAGATGGTTTGGTAAACGGGGCGAATGCAGCCTCCACTTCGGCTTCATCCACCTCCTCTTGAGTAGCAGGAGACCACTTCGGGTTCTACAGCCACACAACAGAATCAACCGAAAGTGTTTATCATGGGATGACCACACATGGCTCAAATCTTTTAACTTTGGCCTCGCAAGAAACAGCAAATGGATGAGATAGGCATGGATTGACCCACCTTGTCCTTGTCAATGAGCACGGCACGGACGCCCTCCAGAAAGTCAGGTCTGACAGATGTGCGCAGTGCCATGCGGTACTCTGTGCGCATCACGTCCTCTATCTGTGCACCGAGCATACATGCAGCAGATTGATTATGGGTGAGACCACAGAACGAGGCACGGGGTGCGAACGAGAGGACACCAGGTGTGGGGCAAGGTGGGGAGAGAAAGAGGGCCAGCAGAAGAAGTCAAAGGAGGAATGCAGGCAAGGCGGTGCACCCTCGACCGGCTACTTCACTGAAAGGCATGGAAAACAAGCCTTCATATAGAACATGCTTGCCCAGTATGGCACCACGGCATGCAACCATGGAATGTCATCACATGCACATGGACACTCTCTCCACTACCACACAAACATCCCATTAGTGCACACGCTCATGAGAACTAAGGAGCTCAAATATATGAAAGGCACGCTGCAGTGGCGGCGGCACTCACAGGGAGCAGCTTCTCAGCCTCGGCCTGGTTGGGCGCCGTGGCGGCAGCATCAGCAGCACGCGCAGAGAGCGCATGGAAGTGCTTTAGCGTGATGGCAAGGCTGAAGGGCGCTCCTGCCGCCATGGCCTG